TACTTGCAGGTTATAGCATGTGAAGGCTACTCATCTGTCACATATATGTACAACACTTGTGTTTGGACTGGTGCCTCTTTGCCTCTAACTGACGTAAATTAGAAGCCTTTGAGGGCTAAGTGGGCACACATTGGCAGTGACATTGCCACAAATGGGCCCTTGTGACATATGATGTACTGTAATGCAGTTCAGAGAGAGACAATCATCAAACGTCTATCAACAATTGAGTGCATGAGAACAAATTGCTGTGTAATTTATGGATGCTCATTCTCTCATGTCTTGTCTTTGATGTAAATGAGACTATTGGTGTTAGTGCAACAACTGTGTGCTTTTAACTAACTGGAAACACTGTGAGCAGGTTGGTCTAGAGTAGACTATGGTCACACAGTGGTTGTAATTAAAAAACAAAAACAAATTGGTGCTGTATCTTTGTATTTTTTGATAGGTATGTTTCTTGAAGAATTTAAATCACTTGCATTTGTGTATCATTAATGGAAATAATAGTTTGTGTCACAGCCCAGGGTTTGGTTTCATCCACAAGTGCTGTACAAAACATAATGCTCTTATCAGTTACTGTCAATTTAATAGATCAATTTCATATATAGCTAGAAATGCTGCAAAGAACTATGACAAGCGATTAAGGAAGGGTATGCGGTTACACAAGCACATGCTTATGTATGTATGGCAACCAGCAATACTGAGACGATCAAACAGTTCTCTTGCACCACCTATTGGCACATTGTCAAAAATACAAGTCACAAAGAAGGACATGCACTCTAAATGGAATAAAGCTGACTCTGATAGGCACCTTTTTCGATGTTCTTAATGCACCAGTCAATTCTGAGATTTTGGGCTATTTCACTTCCATAGTCTTTCCATAGACTTCATGTCTTCTCTCAGACTAACTGGCAAGAAAACATCCAAGCTGCACATTAAGGTGTTTATTGTAGCTCAGATAGATACCACCATGAAACTTCCCCAGTTGATAACCTAGATTAAGACAATTATTTTTGTATAAAATTCTTTTTTAAACATGCACACTAAAATTTGTGATGATTTTCATACTTTAGACCAAAGATCTGAACATTGGATAAAGCCAGGTTCACAATTCTTGTTTCATTTTGTTGACAGTCAAAATCTTTTACAAGAGGGAATCTCCCTTTATCACTCCATTATTCAGAAAATACTGTCAACAGCCATTTAAAAAAAATCTATTTTTATCATGTTTTTAGGAATACAATTTTATATAAATCAGGCTATGAATGATATATGAACAAACCTGTCTGTAAAAACCTTCAGAATACAGATAGAAATAAAAGTGAAATGTTTGGTGTATGCAAAGTACATCAGCTACTGATGTGCAGATTTCTGTCTCAGAGTTTGAGAAAAAACTCATTTTGAGAACACGGCTTTTAAAGTTATACACTGTTATAGTCTATACATCTACAGGTGACAGGGCTAAAAACAACTCATCAACAGATATCACCATGAAACTACCCCAGCTGATTACTTACATTAAGACCATTATTGTTTGTGTTACAAGTTCTATTTGTTTAAATATACAAATGAGGCATCATTTAATTAAATATGTGCTTTTTGCATACATTTCCAGAACATATATCTGAACTAAGATATAAAATGAAATGTGTATTTCGAATGTTTTCTTTCCACTTGCCTGAAAGAAGATGTATATTGGAAGCAAAATAGTCTAAAATCTCAAAGTCACCCAGATTATTTTCTTAGAATTATTCTTTTTTTCTCATACTTTGAGCCAGAGATCTCCACTTCAGTAGAACCAACACATCATTGACACAAACCTTCCAGTTTTATTTCTGTCTATATTCTGAAGATTTTTAAATGAATGAATGAAGAATTTTAATTTTGGTTACATACTTCTGAAAAAACAAAGATTATTTCACACAAATTGTCTCACAGTCTGTAACCAAAAAAGGAATAGGCTGAAGCCCCAGGCTTATTTTTGCCTATCCTATTTTAGAAAGGAAAATAAATGAATTAATCCTCAAGTATTTTACAATTTGATCATTTTACATTATAATCCATATTCATTCTACATCTTAAGACTTTTTTAAAATTCAACAGAGAGCTACACAATTTCAAATCAGCACTGAGTCTATTCCATAACTTAACTCCCAAAACTGAAACACATCTGTATTTTACATTGGTTCTCACTTTACATGTTTCATAAATTAACAACCCTTTTAAGTTATAATTACCTTCTCTTAATCTAAAGAATTTTTGAATACAGACAGGAAGGTTTCTGTTGACAACTCAAGAAAGTATTTCCAATGTTTTTAAATACACGTCTGGAAATTTTAAGGTGTAAAGATGCTATAAACAATTGATTTGTAGATTCCCGATAACCTGCTTTATGTATTATTCTGAGGGCTCTTTTCTGAAGTTTAGTTATCGGATCTATATTTGTTCTGTAAGCATTTCCCCAAATTTCAGCACAATAGGACATATATGGCATTACAAGTGAACAATACAATATATACAAACATTTCTTGTTGAACAACTCCCTTGTCTTATAAAGAACAGCAATAGATTTCGATAGTTTCCGTTTAATATATTCTCCATGTGGCTTCCAACATGGTTTATGATCTAAAATCACTCCAAAACACATCATATACTCCTTCAATTTTAACACTAATGAAGTTCAGTTTCATTTCACAATAAGCCCGAACACCACCAAACACCATACATTTTGTTTTATTTTCATTTAATGATAACTTATTAACAGCTAACCATGTTTTCAACTTGATCATTTCCCTTTTTACCCTTTTTAATAACTCTGTCATGTCGTCTCCTGAACAAAATAAACTTGTATCATCAGCAAATGTTACAAATTTCAACATATTAGATACCTTACAAATATCATGTAAATTAAGAATAAATAACTAAGGTCCCAGTACTGAAACTTGTGGAACACCATAGGTTACTCTTCTAAGATGTGATTCAGTATTATTGATTTTTTTCAAACTGATATCTGTTATTTAAGTAACTTCTTAACCAAAGATGCACGACACCTCTTATAGCATAGCGTTGAATTTCTGAAGAAGGAGGGAATGATCAATTGTGTCAAACGCTTTATGTAAATAAATAAATACACCTACAGTGTGCTGTTTTTTTATCTACTGCTGTTGCAATATTTTCTACTAAGTTCATCACTGCTAAAGATGTAGATCAATTACTCCTAAACCCATATTGATGGTCACTCAGTAACTCATATCCACGTCAGCTGTCCCTGTGGGGGTCAGTCTCCGTACATATGGAATATGTAGGGTGGAGAGATAGTCTCAACACGATAGAGAACTCATATTTCGCAACAAAGTTGTCCACTCTGTTTACAAATAATTTTTCAAGTATTTTAAGTAGAAAACTGAGGTACCAGTGACACAGGTCTATAATTTGATACCATATGTTTGTCACTATTTCTATAGATTGGAACCACTTTGGCAATTTTCATTTTATCAGGAGAAGTACCTGAGAAAGGATTTATTACATATACAAGTGAATGGTTTGAGAACACAGTCAATTACTTCTTTTATAACTGACATGTCAATAGTTAACACACAACACATTAACAATATCATCTATATTTTGAATAACTGAGTTGTCATTTCCAACAATGTATGTTATTATATTATTTGTATGGGTTTGTAACAAATGATCATAGTAAACTGCCCATTCATACTTAATGTTAACTTGTTGTCCATTTCCAACACTGCAAAAACAGGCAAATAATCACTTACATCAGTTACTAATAGTCCACTTTTTTTATCTTTCCATCAGTTATATTTACAAAGATATTATCAATCAATGTTGCACTATCCTTTGTTATTCTGCTAGGCTTTACAATTAATGGATAAACACTCAAACTAAACATAATATTTACAAAATCAGCAGTTTTCATATGATCATTAGATTTTAGCAAATCAATGTTGAAGTCACCACAAACCAGAATCACCTTATCATTATGTTTTTCATATAACTCAGAAATCTTCTTATTAAACTGATCAATACAGGACCCCGGTGCTCTAATTTCAATGGTAACACATTCCATTAGATTATCAATAACAGTTGTTATATTGTCCCCCCCCCATTGGCCCTATTTTGCCAAAACATTTCGTAACCCTCTAATCCATCCTGCAGCTCTTTATTCTAGCTCTATTACACTACATCTTTGCTGAAACTGTTGAAGGTAATCTTTGATTTTGGAGAAGTTACTGTAGAGACTTCTACTATTAAAGTGGATCACAGAAAAGCCCTTTCAGGATGGAACTTGTCCTCAGAATAATACCCACAAGTCATTCTAATGTCCTGGTAGAAGTGGGTCTCTGGGTCAATGTCATTTTCTAACTCATAATGTTTGTGAACTTGAAAGTCAAAAGGCTTGAAATCATTATATTCATACATTCTCTTATACCAGATTTGTCACTCACAAACAATATTTTGCCTCATATCACAGTGATATCAAACGATTTTTACACTGGTCTTTGTTCATATGTCATTCACAGCCTTATTTTCTTATTTTTAAAGTGATAAATAGAGACATTTATGTAAGAGGTAATTCCTCTGGAAAAACTTTGACTCTTAACATGTCAGTAAAATGAAACAAGAATTTTGAACCTGGCTTTATCCAATGTTCAGATTTCTGTTCTGGACATTTACAAATCAGTGCATATTTAATTTGCATATTTTAACATAACAACTCAGAAAACTTGTAATACCAAAAATATTAGTAATCAACTGGGTGAGATCTGATCGTGATATCTATAACTGAAAAAACATCTTTAGTGTCTCCAGTTAATATAGTGGTTTATATACTGTTATGTATATTGTCATATATGTATATATATTTAAATGACTACCTCTCTGTTCTGCAGTCATCATCCATGACTTCATGACTACTGCAAGTACTACAAAAATGGCCACTATAATTACAACTAATGATAATAATGATCATAATCACCAACCAATGGGTCTTTTGGTAAAATTTATTTCTCAAGTGTTTAAGTGATACATGTTTCCAGGGATTGTCTTAACAATGATGTATTCCTCCCCCCCAACAACCAGGAGAGTAAATGAAAAGAAATTTTGTATTTAACTTACTTTTCACACAAACTGTACAATATGTGAATATACTGTAGCACAAGGGATAAAAATGTTCAACTTGAGTACCCTTGATCAGAACCAAACTTTTTTCACCAAGTACCAGAAACAGACAAAAGGATTACTATCAGTAATACTTCAGTAAGACTTCATACTTCCACTGCTTTTTAAATCAAAGATTTATCATCTCTAAAATCACATTCATTTCCTTTAAAAACATCGTCCCATGTGCTTCGATTCTCAGACCCTGAACACGTCAACATTGTCATCAGTGGGTGCTACTCTGGAGGAGCCAGCTTCAGGAGAGATACATTTCATGCTCCAAGACATATGAAGGCATTTCATACAATCAAATATACTGATTAAAAACAGTCAGTGAAACTGGTGTTTTACATAACATTTGCAGAAGCAATCACAGAGACTAAGGCAGATAAAAGGGGAGTCATAATAAAAGACCAGCTACAGTAAATGAAATGAATAGCACTATGTGCAGCAAGACGTGTTTGAGTGGCATGAGTCATCTTATGTTCCATAAGTGGCTCTCTTTGAGTGGTCCTTCCAGTTTTATTTTCCTTTCTTTTGCTCAGAAAATGGAGAAACCAATGAAAAGGAATGTGGTAGAGAATAGACATGAACCAGAATACAAAAACATGGAGGGCCCTTTAGTTCAACCTTCATCTTTTGTGGTGTTATCCTCTAGATCCTCATCACTGTCTAAATCACTGTGGAGCCTCTTGGCCATGGTATTTCTGCTTCTCTCCTCCTTATTCCCTTTCTTTAGCTGGACTGGTAATGGTTTCACTGGTTACAAAAACACAAAAAAGGATGAGTCTATTTTCAGTTCATCCAAAAGTCAAGTTTTTAAACACAAGAGCATCCAGCAAACAGTAATTATACAGATGATCATTTTTAGCCAGACAGTGTGGGTCCTCATCTTCTTTTTGCTTTCCTGTGATCATTGTAAAAACACACAACCCCTCCTGATGTTAGCGTTTTAACTCTTACCTGCTGATGGAACAAATTGGTCTTCAGCTCCACCGCCATTATCGCTGTGACTGGCGCTAACCGTCTCTTTTTGTTCCTCGTCTGTGACAATTCGCTGTCTTGCGCTCTCGAAAACAGACTTAATGACAATTGAATCCTCATAGATCTGCAGAGGTAAACAAACAAACACACACAACCCTCCACGTACATAAACTGCATGGATCCTTCACCACATCGAGATCCAACCCATTTACGACTACAATAATAAAATGGAGACTGTGAAAAATAATTTTGTTGCATTTCAATGAAGAATTTTTTGGGGCTCACCTGAGATCCCTCCAGGTTATAGGTCTGAGCATTGTGACACAGGAGGAAAATATCCTTCTCCAAATCCCCAACACTTCTGTACTTGTGGTTACGCACACGTTCCTGTGAAGCAGAGTCAGTATTAAAACCTCAATGTGACAGTCACAATAAGTAATCAGCAGAAGAAAGACAGGATTTCCCCATAAGAAAAAAACAAAAAGTACATTCCCAAAAAACAAAGACACAAACCCACACAAAGTCTCACAATAATTGAATCTCCCATTTTTAAGCAATAATTCAAAATTTGACAGTTACTCATTTGCTTCCTTGCTGACTTAGATGAGAGGATGAGGACCACTCTCATGTTCACACCTGCCCACCACATCACCACACAAAAGGAAGCGTGCACCTACTACTAGCTTACCTAGCACCATTGATCTTGGTAATGTTACAGCTCAGCTGAGGAGGACACCATCAGTGTTACATCTTGTGCTGTCACGAGCACGAACCTCTCATCAGTGAGTAGATGCACTCTTCCTTCTGCACAGTGATACAGTAGGCGGGTGTACTTTGGTAGAAAGTTAATAGTTCCTACATGAAACTGCTCACAACAAGGCCTGTGGATTACCTTGAGTAACCTGGTTATAATTTCTGGAGAGAGACACTTCTATTGAGTTTCTCGACCATATTTTTGGCACTTACAGTAAGCACCACAAGCTGAGTGCCATCTAGTTCCATTATATCAGAGAAAAGGCAAACATCTTTACAGCTGGTATCTCCAACACTCGGCATCTCACTTCTCAAAACAATCTAGACTGATAAAACGTACTACAGGTAAAAGTTAAAATATGTGTTTTTGTTTTTGGGTGAACTGTCTCTTTAAGCTGATTATCTTAGCATAAAGACTGGCAACAGAGAGAAACTGCTAGTCTGGCTTTGTCCAGAGTTAGACAAAATCTACCAACCAGCACCTCTAAAACATATTCATTAACACATATTGTTTGTTTAATCCATACAAGGGCTGAAATTTGGGTGGGGCACTATTTCTTGGCTGGGCCCAGTGACTTCCTGGAGTCTCCACTGGTTGCCTGGCAACATCGCAGTGCCAACAAAACAACTCTCTGTAGCTGCATAGTTAATACACATGAAAGTGGCAACAATGTTCTCATCGAACTCAGGCTGCATTCACACCAAATCCGGCGTCAGGGCCAAAACACCATTACCCCCGTTCATTCAGAATATGGGTAGTGAACCAAGGCTGCAGTTCTGGGCCTGAGAGGTCCTCCAGTCCACATGAACAATACTGTCACTATTTTTTAAACATTACAGTAAGTAAAAGACATTAGGTATGTTGGCTATTAACAGTGTGTACTATCCTACAAAGGAGAGCGCTTGCTTTGTTTGTGTGTGAACACAAGTTTGTCTTTGTGGCAGTAAAGATACCACAGTAACGATCATCAACAGGAATTCTACAGGTCTTTTAAACCAACATACAAACTGACTGAAGATTCAACAGACTTACTGGAGACAAATACAGAGTCGCTGAGATGGGGATATTGTTTATTTTATGGTTTGTGTCCACCCTCCACTCCCCCACACACGCCATTTAAGTGACACTCCCACACCTCCGCACAACCCTGTAGCTAAACGCCACAACATCTGATGTGGTGTAAATGAAATTTTAAACAGCAAATACATGTATTTCCCAAAGTGTTGAACCAATTAATGGAATGTAGCGGTGAGGTTGCAGATTGCAATCAACTATATACCCCTCCCCTCAGTCGGCATGTAAAGAACCTACAAAGGCCTTCAGGTGACGTAAAAATGCAAAAGGCTCTATTAAGAGTTTCAGTGCTAACTATAGTTACTTTGAAGGTTTTTTTCATACTGATACACATTTCAGAAGTACATCATCCATTTGGCACCGCACTGTAGGCTACCTAAGCACTATTTATATCATTTTCTTAATCAGTATTTATTTAATAAAAGAAGCGTTTGAATATTTAATACAGATACTAGTGTGTCTTTTGATGTATTATGTATCAGCTGGAGTTTCATCTCCCTTTATTTGAGATTCTCTCAGCAGATAAGATAACAGTGATATCTGTATGTGAGTTCTGAGGGTGTTCAGTGACACGTACCCTGATCCTTCTGAAGTCGACAGGCTTTCGGATCAGCTCGTAGTACTCAGGTACCTCCTTCTTTGAGGGGAGCTGCACAAAGCCTTTGCTGATCTGTCGACCCAACCTGGAAGTACAACGTGATAGTTCATGTGAATTCACTTTATCAAGAAAGTGTCTGAAAAGCACATCAGCATGTGATTGACATTCATGGGACTGGCAAATGTAAGCAAGATTAGCATTAAACTCCAGCACCACTGTGCATAAGTGCAGCCTCACTGAATTACTCACATGACTGTACACTCTTAGTCCTGTTACAATATTCCACCACACAGACTACTTGCTAAAGAGAAAAATCAGATTAATATTGGACATTTTGAGGAACTGTATAATCAGCTTGTTTTATCGGGATAAAAAATAAATAAATGTGAGCATGAAAAAACTGATTTTCTTCTGTATTTTGGGTTAATGATAAATTAGGCTCGGCAACGTAACAATGTTAATATTAACTCCATGATATAAGACTATCGTTTTAATTATGTGTTGTCTTTTCCTAGTGTTAAAGGCTGCATTACAGTTAAGTGATGTCATTTTTTGAACATATAAGGCTATTTTAGATGTTACATTTGCCTCTACCACAGTCATGAGTCATTATATCCACATTACTGATGAATATTTATCAAAAATATTAAGTAAGTATTTTGTGAAAGCACCAATAGTCAACCCCACAAATCATCAGAATATCACAGCCCAGTTGCCAGAAGACATGTTGGCAGAGTACGTCTTGCAAACCACGAATATGTTACATTTGTTCATTCGTTTATACGTGAAGTAGGCTATGTAAAGTGATGTAGAATATGAGCTAACTGTATCATTCGGAGCTGGCAGGGATGGTGGATGGCCAATGCATCCTCATCCCATCTTGACAAATATCGCCGCTTGTCAGTGGACTTTCACATCTACATATTACGCACTAGGTGTCCTCCTGCATCTGTTGTTGACATTCCAGGACGCTGTGTCAATTTACACTTGTTACATGCATCGTATCTTTTCAAAATAAACTTCTGTTTTCACAGGACACGTACAGTTTCTGCTTGTTAGTCTTTTTTTCAAAATAAACTTAAAATGTTAGTAAAACACTTCGTATTTACGTTTATTTCCTTGTGCAACAAAAGTATGTGGTTCAATTAAGGAAAAAAAATATAATGGTTTGGCTTTACATTCACACGTGAAGCAAACAGCGGGCTCCTGCGTGAAAGTCCGGAGTGTGTTGGACTCCTCCACTGCCCCTCACACCCAGCTGACAGGGACTTTCCAGCTCCTTATATTACCTTTTTACTGGCAGCGTTTCAAATTGCACAGTAATCTCGAACTGATGCTATTCCGGCAGCATTATACTGTAACACCACCCGGCGAGGTACAAAAAGTGCCTTTCTGTGTCAGTGCCTGACGCCCAAATCACTGACGAAACTGTGACATTTGACAACTTGGAAATTAGAGAATGGGCTGATATAAACTTGGGACCAGTGGATCGGGCAGTTTAGGTAAGCTTGTTAGAAAATATCAGACAGGCAGGTCATTAACTGACAAAGCACCATTCTGAGTTAGTTTAACTTACAGAAATATTGTGCAATAGTCCACCTTCCACCTTCTCTTCTTCTCTCTCTGTCTCTCTTAAACACACACAGCAAGCTGCTTTATAATCAGTGCTACTGCACTCAGGGTTTTTGATTTTTGACCAGGAAGTCCAAAATATTTAACTCTCTGGTCATAATGTCTGTTCAAAAATAGAATATAAATATATAAATATAGAGAATATGTAGACCTAATATCATGTCCTAGCAGCAAGCAAGCATCTCTCTGTCTGAACTGAATCTGTTATATGCATCCCTGTTATGTCATGTAAACAAACCACTGTACCTATCAGCTGTGTGCTCATGTAAACAAACCACGTTGAATATCAGCTGTGAGCTCAAGATCAAACTTAAGATGTAACCACTTAAAAGATGGGTGAGCAGGCTTCTTGTTGTCTTCCCACATTTGTACTTCCCAAACACAAAACATGTCTTATATTGTGACAGGCATTATAACCAACAGCAGTAGGTTGTTGTTAGTGATGGTCATTGACAGAAACTTTTAGCTTTGGTTTGCAGCTTTGCAAATCATGTTCAGGTGATTGATTAACACATATGTTTCTTGGTTGGGCAGGGCAGATTGGCTCTCATAACGGGCCGGGTTAGTGACAGTTTTAGAAAACCCTGACCAGCGCCTCACTAACGACCAAGCTGCAGACCACTGCAGACCGCTGTTTGAGACCAAGGAACAACACAACCAGATGTGATTTAGTGAGTCTTTGCTTTGTTCCAGTGGCTTTTTGGCACCAAACATGCTGCTTTGTAGCGACCCATTGCTGATGCTTGCTCCAATGGGAATAGTGCCACAGACAGCATTTATTTTTTTACTGAGAAGAGGCTGCTTTTCCAGCAGGGATTGTGAATTCAAAAGTTTTTTAAAGGTCCAGTGTGTAGAATATAAGGGGACCAGAATTGGAATGTAACACAATAAGTATGTCTTCTTTAGTTTTTAATTACCTGAAGAAAAAAAAATTGTTGTGCTTTCTTAACCTTAGAATGAGCCGTTTATATCTACATAGGACGCGAATCCTCTTGTACGGAGATTGCCATGTTGCATAACCATGTCTCAACAGTAGCCTATAACGTACAAACCAAACGCTGGCTCTGGGTAGGGCCAATTGCGGTTTTGGATTTGCCACCACAATTAGCGGCCCCTCTGCAATAAGAGTGTTAAAAAAACACTGATTTTTTAAATGTGAAACTGCTTTACACAGTGTTATACCAGTTTAAATCATCGGGTCTGTTTATTTTGGAGAGAAAGAGACCTCTGCAGATAATTCATCTCCTGCGAAAAACCTCCTGAACATCTGGATCTTAAATTATCATAAAAAAAGGTGAGCACACATTAGCAGGTGCTGGGCCAACAGCCCATCTCTGACATGCCAAACTTTATCAGAGAAACACTGATTTGTGACATGAAACTGCTTTATTCCGTGTTTTTACTGGTTTAAATCACCAGGTCTGTTTGTTGTGAAGAGGAGGATACCTCTATGGAGGATTCAGCTCCCGGTGAAAAACTTCTGAAAGTCTGGATCAGCAATAAGATGAACACACATAAAGTTATCAGAGAAAAAAGGTGGACGCACATTAGCATTGTGAAGCTAGCGGCTGCAACGTGCCAAACAGTGTTGGAGAAACACTGATTCGTAACATGAAACCGCTTTATTCAGTGTTTTTACTGGTTTAAATCACCAGGTCTGTTTGTTTTGGAGAGGAAGAGACCTCTGCAGATAGCTCAGTACCTGGTAAGAAACACTGAAGGGACAATAAATACTGAAGGGACTCTAACCGGGAGAAGTTTCAGCTTGTCCCAATCTGAAATCCTCACGGCTAGATCCAGCTAAATCCCCCTAAATCGTACACACTGGACCTAACCACAGCCTTGTTGAAAAGTAAAGTTTCAATATATCTACTACATAATAACATGCAACCATAACATATCCATGGTTTGCAGAAACATATGCTGCCAATATTTTGTCTGGCATCTGGGTTGAATATTGATACTGAGGTATGTGGTCAAAAATATCATTAAGTATCATCAAATATCATTATTTGATTTTCTCAATATTGCCCAGCAATACAATGAATTCATGTTCATTTGTTTGGGATAACAATAAATCTAGTTGCATAACAGTGTCATTACATGATCCAAAAAGAAGTGAGCGCCCTCACCCGTCCTTGTAGTTGATAACCATATCTACCAGTGTGCTCAGCGTTCTGGTGAGTTCAGGTGGGTTCGGAGGCAGTTTCTCAGCAGGTGGACGTCCTCGCTTCCTTTTGACTTTTTCACCAGTTTCCTGCGTGGCCTGCAGTTCTTTCTCTCCATGTTGTTCACTTTTACGTTTCTTCAGAGTGATGTCCTCTTCCATCTCCTCCAGGGTACCGTTTGCTCCTGCCTCAGGCTGCGGGAAGAGGGAGCGACACCTAACAAACTTAAACAAACTTGTAGCACTGGGGTTAGGCGAATGAAACACTGTGGTATAAAAATATGTACCGTTTATACTGAAAGCCTGTGAGGCACTTCCCTTGTTGTTCAGTTTATACCTCAGCATTACAAGGACAATAATAACTGGGGAATGGGAGGGGAAATGGAGAACTGTGACCGATTTCCATTCTAAACTCTTCCTTCCCATTTCTTGTAACTTTCATATTGACAGTTGGGACGCTCACAAACTACATGTTTTCGAACATTCATTTTCCACTGAGAGAGAAACCTGAAGCACTTCAGACAGCAAGCTATAGAATCCAATCCCAAAACCCTAAAATTAAAGCACTCACAGTCTCCAGCTAATTAGCAGTACTGGCTGGAGTTTAAGCATTCAGAATTACAGAGTATGGTTTTGTATTCAAATGAAAGAGCGTTCATTTATTTATTACAAAAGCATATGAATTTGCATGGACTGAAGCGACCCAACTGCTGTGCTGTCTCTGCAAATTTAGGACAGATTATTTTATCTGGAGGCTTTGATGTCAGATGATTATCGAAGGGAGGCAGAGTTTTTTAAAATGCACAATGGATGCGAATACGTTTGACACATTTGGAGAAGCCATGTTATACCAAAGCACAGAGTCTAAAAATGCTAATAAAGCAATAAATATTAACCCATATTTCCCTGGTTTTGCACAAAAAAGAGACAGAAACATAATTTTAGGTGCGCAGTGATCGAGAAAGGATGCCACTGCTGCATCCTGAGTTATTTTCGACCATTTCATCGCTCGTTTTCAAATATCTGCTGCAACCACTGTATTTCCCACAAAGGCAATTAGAGGCCAGAAACATGAGTATGCATGCAGCAAGAGCAGCTCCAGCAGCAGCAGCAGGAGCAGCAGCAGCAGCAGCAGCAGCAGCAGCAACCCGGCTGGAGAGGAGAGGGAGGAAATAGAGAAGGCATGCTGTCCAATCTGAACAGAATATTGATGCATCAATAGTACACACACTAGCATTCAAATCATATAATAAAGCATGCACTTGTGGAAATGTATTTCTCAAGGACAAAGATGAAAGCATGCTGAATGACTGTATATTGCACACAGTGGTCTGAGGAACAGGATGCAGAATTATTACTGAAAATAATTTCATCCAAGCCTAGAGAAAGAAAAGGACTGATGGTGGCAAAAAAGCAAACAAAACGCATGCCTGCACTCCCGAACCAAAAATACATGGCAGAGAATTGAGTTAGAGGAGACAACAACACTACAGAGGTAACAATAGAAATCCTGTTCATCATCGCTCGGCTCAAATGAAGGCTTTAAAAGCCCCGCTGCTCTCTCTAAGGGGCTGCAATCGTTCCAGCGGAATACAGGAGGGATAGAGGGTAATCCTCAAAGATGTCTAACACAGCTGAGAGCTGCCTGATTGACTGTACATGTGTGAGTGGAAGGGTGTCAGTGTGTGCATGTGATGCTCCATGCCTGTGCTATCTCCTAACAAGCCAGCCTCTTTCCTGACTAATCTGGCAAAGATTCCCTCTCATCTGTTACAACACACACCTACACACCCCCTCTCTCCCCCCCCCCGCTCTCAAACACACACACACACACACACACACACACGTGCGCGCGCACACGCTTACACAGACAGACGGGAATAAGCTCACAGAGATACTCGCTCTCTTTCCCTGGCTCGCGCGCACGCACACACACACACACACACACACACACACACACACATTTTATCCATCTCTTCCTCTCTTCCCATGCGATGTAGCCTGGCTGAATCCTGAGCCTGAGAAGAAAGACATGGAGGAGGATATTTACCTGAGTGCAGTCTGCAGGCTGGCTATCAGGATCGGCTGCAGCTGTGGGGGAGAGAATTAGCAAGCCAGCATAGCGGCGAGCTGCTAGTCTCTTCATCAGCTGATCACTCAGAAGCAGAGCCCAGAAGGGGGGAGAATAAAAGCGCTATGTTTTCATATACAAATCAATGGGCTGGGGGAAAATAGAAATGCCATACCCATCTCCTGGCTGCGGCTCTCCGAAGTCTTTTTCCTGACTCTGGAAGGCCCCGAGCTTGTCTCCCTCTGCATGTTTTTAATATCGACTGCTGCCAGACGGCTTTTTTTTTTCTCTTCCTACCCCGCTGTTAAAGTTATCGGGTCCATTTTTTTTTTAATTTTTTTTTAAATGCTGCGTTGCATTTCAGAGGGAACGGGATGTCAACAACTGCAGGGATCTTAGAAACACGAGTCCAGCCTGCAGCAACACGGGACGTGCATATGTGGGCACTTCATACAGCGTGCACGTGTGTGCAAGCGCGCAATCGCCACGGGAGACGGGGGTCATGTCCCCGCCAATGTATAAATATGGAAACGTTGCTCCCCCTCCTTCTCCAGTATTTATAATGACCAGACACGTCATCAGAAATAAATGTATTAGTTCACCCCCATTGTTAAACCCACTCCAAGTTTCACTCAGTCACGTGTCTTTTGGAAACTCTGCCTGCAGTTGATTTGTTACCAAACTCTGTCGCAAACCGACCATCAACTCTAAAACATGCATGTGCGTCGAGGCGCAGACTGTCTCTGGCGCATGGTCCCAATAACTCCGTGTACTTTTGCTCTGTGTTTTAATGAACATCTGACATGTAGCTGATGATCAAAGAGAAACACAAAGCGTTTGGTCGTTATTACAAAAGGTGGACTTCGCGCCAGACGTGTGCGCATTTGGATACAAACAGCCAGACTGACCAGTCAGACAGTTGGTGACTTCCAGATTCCAGATTGCGTCAGATTATCTAAAGAGCCACACCGACCTACTGATTCTGTTGTGATGAGTATAGCCAAATAACCATCACTGACACACACACACACACACACACATATATATATATATGTGTATATATATATATACACACACATACACACACACACACACACACCCTACTCGCTCCCCCAGTATTTCATGTCTAAGATTTCCTGCTTGTTTGTGTGCAGCCGCAGAATTCCAGCAGGGTGATTAATGCATTAATATGGACTCAGATTACACTCAATTTCTGTGCCAAGACAGCAACAGCAAGGAAAAATGTCTCTGTAACACTGAGCTGCTGAGCTGTAACAATTGCAGCAATAACAGTGGACTTTTTCTAGTTTGGGCTGAAGTTCAAACACATCTGGTTTCTGTAAATCAATTAGGGTTTTCTTTCCCTCAACATAAGCTAGAAAACAGCACACAAAGTCAGAACTCACACCACAGGAAATTAAAGATAGACAAGAAAACAGGATAGAAATAAAAGATCCTGTTGCATGTTCTTCAAATGAGATCAAACTCACAATGAAGAGCGCCGCCCCTTTGTAGGATGCAGAGGCTTGTGTGGCTGGAATTCTGTAGAAGCAAGAGAAATCATGATACACATGAGTTGAACAGGCGGTCCACAGCCGTGCTGTCATACCAGGCAGCTAAGTCAGTCTTGTAGCAGCTGGCCAAGGCTATTTGTCATACTTAAATTTAGCAAAGTGTGTTTCTTACTCTTTAAGCCCTACAGGTCTTCATGCCGAAATAAAAACAGCTTTCAATTTAACTGTATTAAACACGTTGAACCTTTTTTATATTAAAGCCCCTGAAAATGTGCTTTCACTTCCTAGGTATTTCTTTATAACTGAATAAGCATCAAAGGTAAGGGGGGGGGGGGGGGGGGGGGGATCACAACATTTGATTTTTTCCAACTGAGCTCCACCCATTTCAAAGAGAAATAACCAAAATTGTTCCTGCACTGGCAGAAAATAGTGTTTTCTTGTAGGACAACATTGCTCATTGTAAGATCCTGCATGAAAAATTTTCAGAGCCTTTAAGTGACTCTGGCAATACATCTTATGGTGGCCACTTGCTGCAGTTGAGCAAGTTCATTGTAAATCTAAAGCTCACATTAAATGACTCTCTCTCACACTCTGTTGGTATGACCTCATTTACCAGTTGATAACACGTCAAAGATACAGCAAACATGATTTAATCAATAGAGATGAAGTCTGTAATGAACAATTAAAGGTCTAACTGAGATCACATTAAGTCATCTGCTTTTGCAGTAAAAATAATGTCAAAATCTTTTTTTAAATGCATTATTATTTTACAAGGACGAAAAGAAAGGTCTGGGGAAATATTAGCAATGCACTTCCAAACTTTTTTTCTTAAAGCAGAACACACAATATGTGATTTACAGAGCAGATACGTATGCTGGTGTGGACAAAAAAAAACTACAATACACAGTAAGCTGTAATGGGATATGACAGGATGATACATCATGTCTTTTATTATATGGAAGACATTTGTGTATTCATAACTTCATAACAAAAAAATGTAAGTTTTTCTCGCATGCCTCCACGGTGAAATGAGAATCCAAAAAGGCAAACTTTCTTAATGAATTGAAGTAGAATGAATCTGCCTTTAACAACTCCCAAACTATAAGTCTCAGTTATCCAGTCGTAGTCTCAGCATTTAAAATACTTCTGAATAAACTGTCTCGCATATGGGCGAGAAGTGTGCCTGCGCAGTTTATGTGTAAACGTTTTAAATCGTAGGGTTTAAACACAAATGCTTATTTGGAAAGTACTGGTACCCTGGCTGGATAAATGAGACTTGGATTACACTGCACGAGTTGTGTGAATGTTTGTAGATTGATGTTTCTATATAGTTTTGCCATTGTTAAATGTGGACCCCTTTCACTCCAAGTCATCAAGAATTTTCTCAGTGTTGGGACTCTCCGTCTACCATAGAATAGAGGCACGCAAGGAAAACACCCCCCCCCCAAATTCAGTGTAACATTAGTAACTGATATACACATGATCATTTGGGGGGTTAGGTGTTCCTTTAAGGTGGGACATGATGTACAGCAGAGGAATTAGACACAAACCTTGACATATTCACAGAGACAGGGAGCACCACTTCTAGGCTTGAAATAATAAATGATTGGCCAACAAATTAATCATTAGCCAGCAAACGTCAAGAACATGCAACATGCTGTACTGTAAACAGGAGCGCTGTGCACACTGAAACAACACTGTTTGTGGATGGTATTTCTTGGCTCAGTGTACACAAGGATTTCCCTTGCATGCCACCAGTATCACATGACAGTTGTAATTGTTTTAAATAATGAAAAATGAAGGGTGCCTTCATTATCTTTTTATTTTTTTGCTTTTGAAGATGACTTATATGAAAATCTATTCTTGCATGTAATAAGGTGTTGTGAAGTTTCGACTCAAAGAGCGTGCTAATGTAAAGTGACTGGATTAGATGAAACAGAGATATCATTTCAGTGTTATGTTCCCAAGAACCACTTGCTCAAAACTGCTGCTCGTTACCATGGCAACAGCAAATTTTGATGGTGGACCTTGTATATTGTATTTTATTGCTGTTGCTGGGAAATGACTCAGAGTGCTCTCAGTCACACATGCTCTCAGTAATGGGACACAGTAACATGCTGGGGGGGGGGGATCATGAGGAATGACAACATAATTTCATACATCTACTCCGTCTTTTCATGGAAGCTTTCTATCTTCTACACCCAATTACAGCTTTCAAAACCTTTGCGAAGGAGGCAAAATGTAAATCGTGCAGAAAACAAGAGCAAAGGGATGGAAACCCATCTCACTATGTCACTGCATGTTTTACACACACTTTGGAATAAATACAGGAAAAATTCAAAAACTGGTCTATGTCTTATTTAAAGATTTCTTATAATTTATACCTTATCACATATTCATTCACCATCAGTGTTCTTATGTAAAATTGAACATAGTGATAATCTCCATTGCAGGGCTGATACAGAACCAAATTACTGTTCCACATTTAATTCTAACATCACCCCACAAACTCTTTTCTCTGGCTAGCTCCTATGGAATATTCATTACAGCAGCCTGCACTGCACCATGGCACAGGTTATTCTGAAAGTTTGATAAATTCTTTATAGCTGATTCAAAGCTGAAATTCAGTTTTAATTTGCAGTGGTGTGAACACAGATGGAGCCAAGCCTACTTTGATCAGGCTGTGATTTCAAGACACAAAGCCAACTAACAATGAGCCGGTCGTTTATATCCGCCTTCTGAAAAGATGCTTAAAATATAAAGTATGCTTGCTGTGCTGTCCTTATGAGATAGTCAATAAAAGCTTACTGAAAGAATAATGGTCAAACAAGTGGGGACAGGATGGAAACAGAGGGCAATAGCTATAAAACACAAAAGGAATTTCTGAAAGGACTGAGTGAGGTGAAAGAAAAAGAGCGGCAAGAGAGGCAAGGAGTTTCTGTCTTACAGGAGGAGCAGAGAGCTGTGTGTCAAGGGATGAATCAAACTGGTGTCTGCCCGACTAAAAATAGGAGAAAGTTTCAAGAGCCATGTTTTTCCAACTGGTTGAGTCACTAAGTATGAGCAATGTGAGAAAACATCCATCAAGAAACCTGCTGAAATCAAAACCTGTTGAATGTAGAGAGAAAGAATAAGTGCTCCACAAAAAGCTTTAACACACTTTTCAGAGTCTCTGTGTACCTT